GTCCCACATCGAGCTCCCTGCTCAATGCGAAGTCTGCTTCTCCCTCTCCCTCTGTCCTCCCCAGCTTGTGTTCTCTCTGTTTCTCTCAAATAAATACAATCTTCAAAAAAATCTTTAAAAAAAGAAAAGAACATAAATGATATAACACAAAAGTGCAGCAACAACAGCAAACAAACAAAATAATAAAAAGCAGAAGACCCGGGAATGAATTCACCAAGGTATTTGCCCACTTTAAGACTTAAAAATGGGAAGCTATGGGAAACTCAATAAATAAATGCAGAAAAACATGAATAGGTGTTCTTGGATAGATAACCTCAACATCAGAAATGTCAATTTTTCCTAAATTAACCCATTCATTTCTATGTTTCCAATAAGAATGATGCTGGCAGAAATTTTAATTGGGGGAATGGGAAACTAGACAGAACTGGTTACAAAGTTCCCATAGAAGAATAAACAAGAAGGGGAGGAAAGAATTTTTTGAAAGAGAAGAGAAATAAGGGGAAATTACTCCTACCAGAGAGTGAAACATACTATAAAGTGACAATCGTTAAAACAGATTGGTATAGGTGCAACGATAGATACCTAAATAGAACAGACACTCAGCAATGGGCAAACAGTTACAAGACTAAAGGACATGATTAAGAATGGCATCTCAAATCAATGGAGAAAGATTAATTATTAAAGTAAATGATATGGGAAAAATGGCTAGCCACTTAAAAAAAATTGTAGTTGTATACCTGCCTCACACCTTATACTAAGATAAATTCCAAGCATAAGAAACAACCATAAAAGCACTCTAATAAACCACGGGATTGGCTTTTGACAAAGGTATCAGGATAGTTCAGTGTGAAAAGAACAGTCTTTCCAACAAATGCACTGCAACGACCAGGTATCTATATGTGGAATAGTGAAATTTGACCTCTACCTCCTAGCATATACAAAAATCAACTCAAATGAACCAAAAACTGAAATGTAAGAGCTAAAACTATAAACCTACTAGAAGGAAACAAAGGTGTAAATCTTTATGACCTTGGACTAAGCAATGGTTTCTTAAATATGACACCAAAACAAACAAAAAAAGAAAAATATAGATAAAATGGACCTCAAAATTTAAAATCTTTTGTGATTAAAAAGACACCATTAAGAAAGTAAAAAGAAAATCCATAGAATGGGGTAAAATTTTTATAAATTACATATCTAATAAGGAAACTGTATCTAGAATACATAAATAACTATTATAATTCTATAATAAAAAGACAATTTTTCCAATAGACAAGGATCTGACCAGACAGTTGTCCCGAGAAAATATATAAATGGCCAATAAGCACATGAAACCATGGTTAACATCATTAGCTATCAGGGAAACACACATCAAGAGGACAAAGAGATACAACTTCACACCTAATAGCACGACTCTTCTCAAAAAAGCAATCAATAAAACCTGTCGCAGATATGGAAAGACAGAAACTCTCACACATTCCTGGTGCATGTAAAGTGACATGGCCATTCTGGAAAACAGTCTGTCGGCCCCTAAAACAGTTAAACACACTTACCATATGATCCGGCATTTCTACTCCTGTGTACACATCCCAAGAGAAATGAAATGAAATGAAATGAAATGAAATGAAATGAAAAGAAAACATGTGTCCGCATAAAAATTTGTGAATGAGTGGGCACGGAATCATTAAGCACAAGAGCCAAAGAGTAGAAACCATCCAAATCGCCCACTTACTGAAAACTGGATAGCATGCTCTATCCACAGGTGGAGCATTATTCATCAATAAAAAGAAATGAAGTACGGGTCTATACTACGAGACAGATGAACCTTGACAACATTATGCTAAAAAATTAAAGCGTTATGCTAAATGCAAGAAGCCAGTCAGAAACCACCACCAATTAAATAATTCCGTTTATACAGAATAAGCAGAAGAGACATCCATACGGACAGAAGGTAAGTGAATGGTTGCCTAGTTTGGAAGACTGGAGTAAAATGAGGAGCGAATTCTAACGTGCACAGGATTTCCTTTGAGGTAACGAAAAAGTTCTAGAACAGACTGTGGTGATGACTGCACATCTTTGTGAATATAGAAGAAGTTACTGAGCTGCACCATTTCAATTGATGAACTGTATGCTACATGAACTATCGTTCAATAAAGCTTTTGTTTTTAAAGAAAAACAACAGGAGACTACATATAATTATGTAACTATATAATGTTCAGTGAGGAAGGCTTAGGAATGATGTGAACTCAGAAGCCACAACAAAAAATAGGAATAAACTGATCCATTAATAAAAGGTAGGGATATAAACAAAAATTTTCATAGAAACATCACCATATATAAAGTCAGTGTCAACAACAAAGTGGGCAAAATATTTGCAACTCACATTACGAAGACTAATTTCCCTAGTAAACAGGAATGGCCTCAAACCAATAATCATCCAATGGAAAAAGTCCATCAACAGACAGAACACAGAAAAGAAAATATAAGTGCTTTTTAAATACCCCAAAAGATGCTCAAAATCAGGAATAAAAAGAGGATACAAACTAAAACTAAGAAATCTCATTTTTTCACCTACGTGATGGTCATATGTGAGAAAACCTTCCCACGTTCTTCTGTTGGTGAGAGTCTGCCCAACCCACCCCCGCCCCCAGGCATTCTCAGTCCCTGCTGATGGAAGTGTAATTGGTACAGCCTCTCCGGAGGGCAGGTGGCACCGTGAACTCCCGGCAATCCCACTGGTGGGGATTTGTGGCACAGACAAGCCTGAGCGCTCAGGAGATCATATGCACAGTAGGTTACTCCTGGGTACAATCCTAGTCCTAACCAACAGGCTGGAAGCAACCAAACCTCCGTAAGCAGGGAATCGGTTAACTAAGTTACAGTCGACTCCTATTGTGAAACCCCCTGCATTTGTGAAGAAAGAAAAGACGCTTAGCGTGCTGGCACTGAGCAAGGTCTATTCTGACATAAAGAAAGAAAATGCAGAATGGCGATTATGGTTTTACTATTTATGCAAAAAGAGAATGGGTTGGGAGGAAATATAAATATGAATTTGCTTGAAAATGAATTACCCTCTGGAGGAATAACAAGAAACCATTAATATTTATTGTGCCCTCCGTAGAGGGCAGGGACAGAGACTTTTTCTCTTTTTTTAGCAAATAGCCTTTTGTACCCTTTGAGTCCCGTGAATGTTTTTAATATCTTATAAATAAATAAATAACTATTCTTGCTATTATGCTTGGTCACTGGAGGCTTAGATCCACTCGGCATCAAGAGCCGCAGTAAATCCAACAGCAACAGAGAGTCCGCGTGAGGTTACACTCGGGAAATGGATGTGACACACTAAGGGAAAGGGGATGAGCAGAGCAGTCGTTCTTAACAAATAAGCATACAGGATTCCCAATTAAGTGCAAAATTTGGATAAATCATTTTTTCTATCATGCAATATTTAGGACATATTTACACTGTATTTCATCAGACAACTCTAGCTCTGAGAAAATGCTTAGGCTGCACTGGACAGCTAATCAGAAACACGACTAGCATAGGTCCCTCTCCAGAAGAAGGGTCCACATGCCACACTGTCCAGAGAAAGAGCTGACATGGATTCTTCACTCACGGAAGTAACAGCTTGACCCGTCATCGTCCCGAATCCCCACTGATGTATGAGATCATTTAATGCAGGCATGAGCAGCTTATGAACAAAACACGGAGCACAAGGAGTTACCATCTTCCAAGAGAAAGAGAAAACCAGAGTGAGGGAAAGACTTAGAAACCCAGTCCATGAGGAAAAAAAGATGTTTTCATATTTCAATTTTCAACTTTTTAAATTCAGCAATCCCAAGTGCAAAGACATACAATGACCATGGTTCTCTGAAATATTTTTTCAAAGCCAGCTGACAGGTTTCCTCTCAGCTGGAGCTGAGTGTATGAAAAACTAAAACCTGGTATGTGACAGCCAGAATCCAACACTCCTGATATTTACTTCCTAAGGGTCTTGCTTTTGGTAAGGTTTGCCCACAGTTACCCATCTCATAGCAGTGGAGTTCATTTTTGATCCTGGAAGAAGTCACTGCATGAGCTGTCACCCATGGACTCAGGTCAAGGCAGAAACACACCAGTGGCCACTGGCCGGCCTCCCAGGACTGGGAGGGATTATGTACATGTCACACGGGCTTGTTCAGACGATGACAGGAGCCAGCATTAAAAATGCCTGGATAGGACAGACACCTCAGGACTGGACAGCAAACTGGTCACACCACCTCTCCGTCTGCCCTCCTCCTCCCAGTCTTCTTTCTGATGTCCATCAGTGTCCCCATACTCTCTCCCCTACGCTTTCGACTGCCGGCTCCAAGCCAAAGTCATGGCTCCCTCCTTAGGAGGTGTCCTGAGGCCACATTATCGCCAAAAGTCACAAGCTGTATTCAAAAAACAATTCGCACTATAGAAACTACTATTTATTTCATCATGTCTCCAACATTGTACATGCATTAGTTTGGTGCTCTAACTCCCATTACATTATTATCATCCCCATTTCATAGACGGTAAAAGGGAGGCTCAGAAATACAAAGATGTCCAAGAACTGGAACCCAGTTCAAGTGTGGCTGATACCAGAGAATATGTTCTTTTCACTACTGTGTGCTGCCTTACGTCTCTCTGTACTTAAAAAAAAACAAAAAACAAAAAAAAAAAAACAGCTAATCGAGTTTTCTTCTAAGTTATAAAAGGAATAAGTATAATAGAAAATCTAAGCAACTAGGTCTAGCAGAATGGGCTTGTGTTACCTGCCAGTCCCTCTCTGTCACTCCTCCTCTCTGCCAAGCGACCTCACGGTGCCATCATCCCTAGGCATCTCAAAGCCCAGTTTCCACACATCATATTGTAAACTACAGGGGCAGGGACTTGGACTGGTTGCCACGCTCACCCCAGAAACTAGAGGAGAGGATAGGACATGCTAGGAGCTCAGATGTACTGAATGGATACATGCATGAATGAATGAATGGTAACTCTTTCCTTGAATGAGTGAGTTTGCCTGTCAGCCCTGTGCAGGGGCCACGTTTATCATCTCTGGATTGTTCTACTTTTAGTATATGTGCTGCTGAATAGAGCACTCTCCTTGAATAAGCAAGAGTTAACTGTGATGCCTAACTTTAAAATTCAAATTACTATGAATTTTTAACATGGATTTAACTATTTTACATTATGTATCTAATTCTACTTTGTTTTTTATTTGCATACATGAAAAATGACATATGGTATTGCAGCACTGTTAATAATAACAAAAGGTTGGAAACAACCCAAATGTCAATGTCAACTGACAGGAAAGTAGTTAACAAATTATGATCTATTCTGGTAATGGAATACTATGCAGCTATAAAAGAGAATTTTATATACACACACATATATACAAATACTATATGGATACATACATGTATATATACTATTATGAATAACATAATATAGAATGTATATGCATAGATACACAAGTGTATGTATTATGTATATATTGCATACAGTGCACATCATATACCACATGCATACATACACACATGTATACATATATACACACACACTAGCATGTATGTTATGCACACACACTGATATTATCAGAAGATCTTTGGATACTAAATGAAGCAAGCAAGCAAGGTCAGTGTCTATAGTAAGACACCTTTCGGAAGAAGACAGGATTCCTGCTTGCTTGTATTTGCAGAAAGAAATCATGGAAGCACATAACAGAAACAAAGAGAAGTGGCAGATGTGGAGGGTGGGAAAAGGAATTGGAAGAGCGGGGAGACATGGGTGGGAGCAAGACTTCTCACAGAGTATGCTTTTATATACCTTTATTCTAGGTAATGTGATGTTCCGTCTTAGACTTCTTACGTTAATCCACTCTGACGGCAGAGAGCGCCCCGAACAGCCTCCCTCCCCACGCCCAGGTCCACTCTGAAGGAGCCGCCGGCCACTGTCAACGCCCACAGCTCTTCTTTCTGGTACTCGCCTTCACCTTTTAAAATACAGTTCTTAGCATTACCTCTTGAGTTTTCCATCTCGAACTATCTTCTGCATCTTTACACGGGTGCACACACACTTGCCCTTCCCTACAGTATCCCTCCTGGCCACATCACAGTTTTTTCCTCCATTTACAGTCAGTGTATCAGAGAGGGAATCCCTCTTCACACAAGAAGGAACAGGATAAAAAATACCAGTTTCTCCTGGTACGATGAACAGCTTCCAAGCACAGCGTGCATTCTACGATGGAGTCTAAGAAAAGCACCACAGAATGAAGGGCCTCCCAGACTCCTCCGCAGACGATGCTGTCTGCTGTGGTGCGTGCTCATTACCCTGTGTCTCGTTGTGCCTTACACTCTCCTGAAACACTATTCGGATACCAGGTTTTACAAAAATTGGTATAAGATGGAAGATTCATTTTTTTTTTTTATTTTAGTTATTTATTTGACAGAGTGAGAGACTGTGAGAGGAGAACGCAAGCAGGGGGAGAGGGAGAAGCAGGCTCCCTGCTGAGCAGAGAGCCAGATCCAGGGCTCGATCCCAGGGCCCTGGGATCACGACCTGAGCCGAAGGCAGACGCTTAGGGACTGAGCCACCCAGATGCTTGTGAAGATTTTTTTTTTTTTTAGATTTATTTACTTACTTGAGTGAGAGCACAAGTGGAAGGAGCAGAAGAAGAGGGAGAAAGGATCTCTAGCTGACTCTGCGCTGAGCAAGGAGCCTGGAATGAGGCTCAATCTCACAAGCTTGAGATCATGACCTGAGCTGAAGACAAGAGTCAAAAAAAAAAAAAAAAAAAGAACAGAAGTTGACCCTTAGAAGATAAATGGACAAACCCAGACACTCCGAATCCATTTGCACAGCTTCCTACATCCTTTCACAGAGTAGAGATGGAAATTTAAAAATTAGGTTGCTCAGACTTCCTGGCACTTAGGATTCTGACTGCAGTTTAGAACCCCTGAAATACATTCAAGTGAGACTGGAAGTTGGACATGAAGCCTGGGCTCCCTCCTAATGTCCCTCAACAGGAAAGGAACAGTGAACTTGTGGGGTTTGGCCACATGGTCCTGTCCTACTCAAAGTTGGGCTCAGCCTCAAGAGCTAGACAGTGCACCATCCTATAGCAAGTCCTGTCTCCCTTTACATCTCCATCAAATTGTCCACCGAGGAGAATAAGAATAAAAATGAAATGATAAAGTTACCATGTCAACCTCATTCCATATACAAAATAAATCTTAGATGAATTACAGATCTAACTGTGAGATGCTAAGTTTTAAGATTAAAAGAAAATATAAACAGAAATATCTTTATAACCTTTGATTAGGAATAGGTTTATTAACAAAACCCAAAAAGCAAAAAATATAAACAATACAGAAATGATTATATACAAATTTGTTCATTCTCAGATATCTATTGATTCCTCAACTTGTAAATGGAATCTATAGAGACTTATCAGTAATACCATACTTAACGGTGACAGACTTTTCCTCTAAGATCAGAACAAGATTAGGATGTTTTTACTCTCCCTCCTTCTATGCCACACTGTACCAGAGGTTCTGGGTGGGACATTAGCAAGAAAATAAAATAATAAAATAAAATAAAATAAAATAAAATAAAATAAAAGCATCCAGATTAGAAAGAAGTAAAAATATTTCTATTTGCAGATGACACAATCTCACACTGAGAAAATCCTAAGGAGTCTATGAAATACTATTAGAGTTCAGCCAGGTTGCAAGATAGAAGATCAATATATAAGTCAATTGTATTTCTATAGCAATAAACAAGCAAAAATAAAATTAAGAAAACAATTCCATTTACCATAACATCATAATGAATATATATATATTTGGTAATAAATTTAACAAAGTGTAAAAATCAGTACTGTGAAAGCTACAAAATATTTTATTTTTTAAAGGTTTATTTATTTATTTGACACAGAGATAGAGAGTAAAGGTAGGCAGAGCAAGAGGGAGAAGCAGGCTCTCCACTGAGCTGGGAGCCCGATGTGGGGTTTAATCCTAGGACCCTGGGACCATGACCTGAGCTGAAGGTAGCTGCTTAACCGACTGAGCCATTCAAGCACCCCGAAAACTACGAAGTATTTTAAAGAAATTAAAGAATACCTAAATGAATGGAAAGACAACCTATTTTATGGTTTGAAGTGTTGAATATGATAACAACAGTCCCCAAACTGATCTACAGATTCAATGCAATTCCTGTCAAAATCATGACTGTCTTTTTTGCAGAAATTGGTTGTAACATTCATACAGAAATACGAGGTACCCAGAACAGCCAAAAAAATCTGGGGGAAAAAAAAAGAACAAGATTGAAGGATTCACACTTCCCAATTTCAAAGCTCACTACAAATCTATAGTAATCAGGACGATATGGCACTGGCATAAAGAAAGACACATAGATCAGTGGGATAGAACTGGGAATCCAGAAATAAACCCTTATATTTCTGGTCAGCTAATCTTCAACAAAGGTGGAACAACTGAATAAGGAAAGAATAGTTTTTTCAATAAATAGTTCTGGGGAAACCGGATAGCCACATACAAAAGAATGAAGTTGGACCCCTACCTCACACCATATACAAAAGTTAACTTGAATCAAAGACCAAAACTATAAAAGTGAAGTCTATAAAAACTCTTTGAAGAAAACATATGTATCTTTGTGACCTTGGATTAGGAAATGGTTTCTTAAGTATGGTAGCAAAGGCACATATAACAAAAGGAAAACCAGACAAAATAGATTTCACCAAAATTTTAAACATTTATGTTTCAAACCATACTATCGAGAACATCAACACACAACTGACAGATGGCAGGAAATATTTACGGACCATATATTTAATGAAGGACTTCTACTTAGAATTACAACTCTACAGTTCAAAGACAAATAGTCCAGTTAAAAAAAAAAAAAAATGGGCACAGGATCCGAGCAGACATTCCTCCAAAGAAGATACATACTGACCAAAGAGCACATGAAAAGATGCTCAACATTATCAGTCATTAGAGAAATGCAAACCCAAACTACCATGAGATACCCTTTCACACCCACCAAGATGGAATCACCCAATACCTCTAACAAATGGGTCGGGGAGATGTGGAGAGATGAGAGCCCTTGTACATTGCTGGTGGGGATGTAAAATGGTACAGCCTCTCTGGAGAACACTTTGGGCGCTTCCTCAAATGGTTAGGCAGTTACTAACTCCATTCCTAGGTATGGAATTGGAAATATATGCCCACACAAAAACCTGTGCAGGAATGTTCATAGTAGCATTATTCACAGTAACCAGAAAGTAGAAATCACCCAAGTGTGCACCAACTCAAGAATGGATAAACAGGGGCAGTTGGTTAAGTGGGTCACTCCTGGTTTTGGCTCTGGTCATGATCTCAGGGTCAGGAGATCGAGTCCCACGGCGGGGCGTGGGGTGGGGGGCGCTCTGCGCTCAGCAGGGCGTCGGCTCAAGATTCTGTCTCTCCCTCTGTCCCCCCACCCCCCTCACACACGCACTCTCTTAGACAAATAAAATCTTAAAAGAAAGAATAGGTAAACAGAATGTGGTATCTAGTGGTATATCCAGACAAGGGAATGTTATAGGCAATAAAGAGAGGTGAGGGTGAATCCTGACAACACTGTGTCAAGTGAAAATAGACAGTCACAAAAGGTCTCACACATATCATGTGATCTCATTTGTATCAAGTGTCCAGAACAGGCAAATCCATAAAAATAGATAGTAAATCAGTGCGACCAGGGACTGACAGGAGGGACTGCTTATTGGGTCCGAGGTTTTTTTTAATGAGGTGATGAAGATTTCTGAAATTAGACAGGGTGAGGTGTATATATATCTGGGAACATACAGAAACTACTGAATTATATACTTTGAAAGAGTGAATTTCATGGTATGTAAATTATATCTCAATGCAGCTGTTATGAAAGTGTATCGGGGCACGTGGGTGAGCAGTTGGTTAAGCGTCTGCCTTCAGCTCAGGTCATGATCTCAGGCTCCTGGGATTGAGCCCCGTATCAGGCTCTCTGCTCAGTGAGGAGCCTGCTTCTCTCCCTCTGCCACGCCCCCAGCTTGTGCTCTCTTTCTTTC